TTGGCAAAGATACTGGAGTGATTTGCCATTTCTTTTTCCACCTCATTTTACAAATGAGGAAAGTGAGGCAAACAGGGTGAAGTGACTTGCCCAGGATCACACAGGTAGTAAGTGTCTGAGGCTAGATTTGAACTCAGGAAGATGTCTTCCTGACTATAGCCTGGGCACTCTCTACTGTGACAACTAGGCCACTAGGCAGAGTCCCTGGAGATTTAGGATCTTTCTCCCCAAAGAATTAGTGGAGCACAGTGACTCCTTGAGAAGAAGGAATTGATCTCTGACTTAGCATATAGGATGTCTAAGTTGGAAGGGACCTGGGAGGTCATTTTGTCCAACAGCCTCATTTTAGATAAGATAGAAAGAGCCCCTGAGAGGAGAAGAGACTTACTTATCTAAAGTCATACAGTGAGCCAATGACAGAGCCAGGACTAGACCTCTGAGTTTCTACCTGCCAGCCCAGGGATCGATGACATCTCATGGTCTCACTTCTGCCCCTTGGCTGTACCACTGAGTGCCAAACAAGCCTTTGTCTCTGGTATACTGCCCTTGTATCTCTTCTGTGTCCTGGTAATACGAAGAGAAGGCCTGGAGATTGTTATATACATTAGTAACATACAGAATAAGACCCCTTGAATGGAAGTCAGTAGATCTAGATTCTTATACTACCCCTGCCATTAACTTGGTTTGGGACTTGAACAAGTCACTGCTTGTCCCTAGGTGCTTCCTCTATAAAATGTTTGATTTTAGACGAGGTGAGAGGCCGTCTACATTTGGAAAGAGCCTAGGATTTGGAATTACAAGACTGAACTTGAATCCCAGCTTTGCTACTTATTACTTGTATGACCTTTGGCAAGTCCTGCTTTGGGGTTTTTATAAGCATCCTAGTTCTCCTCATGCCTTCCATTTTCCTCCTACTGTGGATGTGTTTTTTTGCCTCCCCCATTAGATTAGGAGCTCCCAGAAGGAGTGTGTGATATTACACACACAAACTTGGGGCTCCTTGAAGATATGGGGCTTTTGTCTTCCTCAGATTAAGGTTTTCCTGTGTCAAGAGCCATGTTGTCTCTCCCTCATCAAAGATTTGAGGATTCCATAAGGATTCCATGTCTTTCATGTTTGTCTGAGAAGTCTCAGGCTCTCCTGCCGAGGGAAAAATCAATAGTAGGAGAAACTCAGCTTTAGTATTAGTTAGAACTTTTGTATTCTAAAGTCCTCCTGTGCTACACATTACCAAGAAAGTATGTGAACTCTTGTGCAGATTTTAAAAAAGAGTTGAAATTTCCTCTCATGGCTGAGTGTGTGAAGGATGATAGATAAGATTACCCTCGAATCAGTTCAGAGTTTCAGGCTTCAATTCTGTGTCACACATACACTTGCCTATCCTGGCTTGTTAAGCTGTTTTGATGCTGCTTTACATAGTTAGATTGCCTTCCCAAGAGCCTAATAACAGTTTCAGACCCCGTAAATTTAATTATACAGAGGTACTAATTAGTATTAGTAAACATCTCATCTTTGGCCAAAACACAAATATCACTCTGTTGTTTTCCTTCCTTTTTATCCACCCCTCCCTGCAAGTACAGGATCCTGGCTACCCCCCAAACCAAGACATTTAGGTAAGGCTGGCCTTCTACTTGGGCTTAGATTGGTGTGATGTCAGGAGGGCCTGAAAGGACCTCCCCCTTCCCCCACTACCTAGAGAAACCCAGTCCTGAAGCTTCCCCTGAAGCCTTAAAACCCTGTAGCTGTGGGCTAAAGCCATTCGTTTCCCAATGAGAGAATAGGCTTAAGCGCAACTTCTCCTCTTCTGTCCTACTGTCCAGAATAAGTGAGAGGGGTGGGGAGTAAGTCATAGTAGAACCAAACCTAATAATCTCACTGGGCCTGGGTCTGATTAATTCAATGGAGAAGCTGCATAGTATCTTGGGGGGGGGGGGCCCAAACTAGAGTAGGGGTCTTAGAGACATACCTGATAACTCCTTAGACTTAAGCACAGCTCCTTCTTCTCTGTCCTACTGTCTAGAATAAGTGGGGGGGGAGTCTTCCATCTTGATCAAACCATGTCTGTAATGCAGTGCCCAGTTCTGGGAAACACATTTTAGGGAGAAATTTGACAATTTTGAGTCCTTCCCAGAGGAGGATATCTAGAATGGTGAGAAGAATAGAGTCAGTATCATTCGAGGATCTGCTCAAGGAACTGCTTGGGTGATGTTCAAGATTTCTGTAGGGGTGGAAAGTTAAGATGCGACATCAGTATTCAGGTGCTTGATGACCTGTTATGTGGAAGAGCGATGTGATTTATTCTACCTGGCCCTGGAGTGCAGAAGTTAGAGCAATGGATAGGTGTGCATAAAAGTAGACTGAGGCTTTCTGTCTAAGAGATCTGCCTCATAGTTAAAGATGCCCCAAAGTAGAAGGAATAGTCTTATGACATAGTAAGGAGATGACCACCATCATTGGAGGTCTCTATGAAGAAGCAGGATAACCATTGTCAGAGATATTGTAGAAAAGGATTCCTTCAGGTAAGTATTGGACTAGATTACTTCTGAGTTCCCTTCCAGCTCCTGAAATTCTGTGATTCCGAAGAATGTAGGAACTGAGTAACTCTGAGGCTGGGATAGCCTTTAAGAGCTCTTCTCCAGGCCTTGGCTCTCTCCAAGTAATTTGTAGCTCTCTGCCTGTGTGCCTGGGCAGAGAATCTTGCAGAAAGCTGTGCAGGGCTAAGATGCACTTTGACGTGGGAGCAGAAGAAAGGCATTGTGGTATGAAGAAAAGAACATTGAATTGGTGGTGAGAGGATCTCTGTTCAAATCTCAGTGTTGTCACTGACTATCTGTGTGACCTGAACCTCAGTTTTTGTTTCTGTGAAATGAAGAGGCTGAGCTCGATCATCTAAATTCCCTTCCAACTTTTGACATTGTAAATTGTCAGGTCCCTTATAGCCCCGAATCCTCTGAACTTAAAGAATGCATATTGATAGCTGAACCACAATGTTGAACTAATTAATAGATAAGAAAGCACTTTAAAAGGATAAGATGGAAGGGATTGTTACTGTTAACAAGATAAATATGAGTGTTTTTAAATAGAAAATCTGCAAAGGGATCCTCCATATAGTTAAATCATTCAGTTTTTTCAGTTCTATCTCCACAATCTCTCTTGCATCCATCCTCTCTCCACTCCTATGGTACACACCCTAGTTCAAGTCATCATTTTGTGCCTGGACTTGGGCAACAACTTTCAGACTAGTGTTCACATGAGCAGTCTCTCCCTCTCCAATACATTGTAGACAGATACCTGACTTACCTTAGGTGTGCACAATTTTAACCATGTCAATTCCCCAATCAGAAACCTTCAAGTGTTCCTTGGGGCCACCATTGTGAACAGAATAAATCCAGCATGGTTTTCCAGTCTTAGGCCCCACTGCTCCTCCTCATGTACTCTTTGCGCCAGCTAAACTTATCCCTTTAACACATCTCCTATTTCCCCTGCCCACTACATTTTTGTTCAGCCTACTCTGTGCTGTGTGGTATAGTAAAGACAGCACAATGGACTGAAGGCAGAACACTGGGTTCCAGTCCCAGCCCTGCCATTTACTACTGACTGTGTGATTTTGCATGAATCTCATTCCCTCTCCTAACCTCCATTTCCTTATCTCTAAAATGGAGGTGAATAGTACTTGTGCTGTTCATTTCACACAGTGATTGTATAGCACCCATCCACTTCTGTGAAATCCTGGATGCCACCACACCCTCCCTGCCAGCTGAAACCCTTTCCCTTTTTCAGAGGGGAACAAAAAAAAAAAAAAAAAAAGCACCGGCTCTGGAGTGAGAAGACAAGTTCGAATCCTACTCCTGCAGCTTTACTTTCTGAATGACTTTGGCAAGGCACTTCTCCGGGGCTTCAGTTTCCCCATCTGTAAAATGAGAGGGTTGGACTCTGTGGCCTCTGAGTCCTCTCAGACTTTTGATCTGTGTTCCCATGGCGAAGTGCTACCTCTCCCTTGAAGCCTCTCAGCTTTTGTCTTTCCTGCCTCCCTCAAAGCCAGTGAAATCTCCTTCCAAACTCCCATAGTGCCTTTTACCTTTCTTAATCACATCAGCCTTATTTTTTTTTAATAATTCACTTGTACTTTACAGTTTGCAAACTGCTACTTGATCTTCTTTGAGTCATATAAGAACCCCATGCAGTATTATTACAGGTCTTATCATTTTCATTTTACAGGTGAGGAAACTGAGGCTTAGATATTAAATGACTTGCTCATACTCTCACATCTTTAAATGCCCTAAATTCTACCCCTCGGTAGTATTTGAGTTCAAGTCTTTCTGATTCTGGGTCCTGCACTTTGCTCATTATGTCACTCCTGCCAGGTGACCTTTATGAGGTCAAGGGCTATGTCTTGTTCATCTTTGTCCCTCCCCTTTTCCCTCTCCCACCCCAGTACTGAGTACAGAGCTGTATGCCTTCAATGTGTAAATGAGTCATCTGTAATGTAGAAAATCTTGCTGTTCTTTACATTGGCCCAACCACATCTAGAATATTATATTCAGTTCTGGAAAGACATTTTATATAAGACATTGGCAAACTGGATAGCAAGCAAGATGGTGAGAGGAGTAGGCCTTGCTATACAAGAATCAGTTGAAGGAGGCTGGGAATATTTAACCCAAAGGGGAGGGGTGGGACACGATAGCTGACTTCAGTGCTTGATGTCTGCCATGGGAAGAGAGATTAGATTTGTTCTGCGTGGCCAAAGTTGAGAGCGATGAGTGGAAGCTGCAGAGAAGCAGATTTGGGTCCGATGTAAAGAAAAGCTTCTAATGCTATCCAGGTATGGAATGGGCTTCCTCAGAAGAAAGTGAATTCCCCATCAGTGGAGATTTTCAGAGGCTGAATGATCATTTATCAGGCCTAGACTGGACTAAATGCTCTCTGAGGTCCCTTCTAGCTCTGAGTTTCTGTGATTCTGAAGATTTTGGAGTCTGATTCTCTTTTTCTTTCTGATCTAGGCACTGGCTCTAGCATCCTGTCTGCACTACAGGACCTATTCTCCATCCCCTGGCTAAATAAATCTAAGGTTGAGAAACAGCTTCAGGTCATCTCTGTGCTACAATGGGTCCTTTCCTTCCTTGTCTTGGGTAAGATGGTTATTGTTGCTGTTGGGGGCAGGGTACAAAACCTAGGCTTGGAATGGAAAAAATGGTTAGAGATGTGCCCTGACAAATCAAAATAAAAAAGGTAAGTGAAAAAATAATATTGAACATTCCCATTTCTATAGCCTTAAAAGTAGATAAAATCATTTCCTCTCAATAACCTTGTGAGGTGGGGAGATGAAGTAATTAGCATTCTCCTCATTTTACAAATGAGAAAACTGAGTTTTGGAGGAGGGAAGTCACTCGCTCAAGGTCACATAACTAGCAAATGTTGGAATAATTGAAGTGACAGCTGGGAGGCCAGGGAACAATGGGAAACATGGACTCAGAGAGGACAGCCTGGATAACGTGGTTATTTCAGTACTCATGGGAGTGAGTACTTTCTCCACTGATTCAGAGCCAGTACTTCCGTGCCTCCAGAGGCCATCTTGGTGAGTCGCCATGGGCAAAAACGTCATCATCATTCGCATTCAGCCAACCTGTTTCCTAGGCTGGTCCTAAAGTGATAAACATACAGACCTTTTTTGGACCTGTGTTTAAGGATTCACTGGCTCCTAGGACCTGCCAGAGTTCACGCTCATCTAGGATAGAACCTTGGGACACCAAGTCATCCAAGGAGAATTTGAGCGAGAGTGATTGTATAGTACTTCATCATCCATTGTCTCAATTGAGCCTTACTGTTAACAATCCTAGGAGAGAAGCTTGCTCTAGGAGTTAGTATATCCATTTTTTACATCTAGAGGAGAGTAATTTGGCCAGGACCCAGAAAGGTTAGGGCTCAGTCTGAGACTGGGGCTGGGTCTCAGGGCAGGGCTAAGGCCTTTCATCTTTAACTTCATTTACTAACTATTGAACTAGTTAGGCCAGACCATAATAGTTCTGTTCTAGAACCTAAAATATACCCAGATGGTCTCCTCTTCTCTTTCTCTGACCCTGTTTCCAAGCTCTTTCTTTTCAGGAGCCTGGAATCAGGTTGGAGACTTTAGTAGGCTGAGTATAGCCTCAGATTATCAGAGCCTTCCTGCTTGGCTGGATTCATAGTTTGCAAGTTAATGATTGATCCTGACCAAACCCAGAGCGGGCAAACCTGCTGGAGCTCCTCACCTGTCACTCCTCCAGGCCAAAGGCTTGGTGGTTGCAGCACACTGAAGGGGTGGGAAGATGAGCATGTTTGGGAAGCTTGGCGGGCGGAGGACCTCATCATTAAGCTGGAGGCCCCATACACCAATGATAATTAACCCTCTTGCCCATCATCACTCCTCCTGTTGGCCCTCTAAATAAACCAGCTGGCCCAGAGGGGCAGTGCCTAGTTTTGTAATCAGGGGCTTGTGTTGAAACTACTTTCAGATGTAACCCTGAATTTGTTTCTCAGGACCCTGCTTCAACTGTACCTCTACTCAACTACTTGCTAAGAGATTGAATCATGAATGACAGTGGAGTGTAGTAGGAAGGTTGCTGGATTTGGCATCAAAAGGCTGGGGTTCTGGTTCTGCTATTTGCTCATTGTATGATCCCTGGGCAAAAATCACTTTTCAGTCTTCAATTTTATGCAATCTTAGCCAGATAGTCAATAAGCATTTATTTTAGGTCCTTACTGTGTGCCAGGAACTGTGCTCACCACTGCAGATACAAAGAGAAGTAAAAACAGTCCTGTCCTCAAGGAGCTCACATTCTAATTCAGGAGACAACATGTAAATCACTGGGAATGTACAAGATATATACAAGGCAAATGCAATTTGGTCTCAGAGGGGCAGAAACTAGTTGCTGAGGGGACCAAAATCAGCCCCTACAGAAGGTAGGATTTGGACATAGTCTTAAGTAAATCAGGGAAACTGAAGAGGCTCAAGTGAAGAGGGAGAGTGATCCAGGAGTAGAGAATGGCCAGTGTAAAGGCCCAGGAGATGGAGTTGTGTGAAACCCCTTCTGACTCCTCTAATTCTCTTCCTTCTCTAACTGTGTGTTTATGTCTGTCTTCCCCAGACCCCCAAATGTAGACTGCTTGAAGGAAGCAGCTGTTTTCCATTTTTGCCTTTGTGTCCCCAGTGCCTAACATACCGTAGATGTTTAATCAATGTTTGTTTAATTGAAAGGGTCGAAGACATGGAGTCAGTAGAATCTAGGTTCAGACCTTAGCCTTGACATGTGACCCTCAATATAGATCATTTCACCTTTGTAAGTCTGTTTCCTCATTCACAAGTTAAGGATAATAATCCTTGCCCTGTATACCCCTTAGACCTTTTCTGAAGAAATAGCCTTAAAGCATAGAATTGTGAACTGTTAAACTCAGAACTGAATGAAAAGAACCTCAGAACAACTTAGAGACCTGAAGCATAAATCTCCTCTCTAAGACATCCCCCAAAACTGGTCCTAAAAATGTCTACTTCAGGACCGTCAATGATAAGAAACACCATTTCCTAAATCAGGCCATTCTGTTCTGTGATAGCTGTGTTTATCTTTATGTTGAACATGCCTCATCTGTAAAATAATATTGAGTTCTATGAGATGATAGGATTCAGAACTAAACTGGAATCAGAGAGTATCTAGTCCAGTCCTTTCATTTTATAGATGAGGAAACTGAGGCCCAGAGTAGGGAAGGGATTTGTCCCTAGTCATACAATTTAATAAGTACTTACTCCAGATACTTTCATCAACACCATGCTGGTTCATGCAGCTATCAGAATAATCTTCTTTGAGACAATATGGTCTAGTAAATGGAGTGCTAGACTTGGAATTAGAAAAGACTTGAGTTCAGTTCCTAACTCTAAAACTTATTAACAAATCGATTAACCTTTCTGAGTTTCAATTTTTTTTATCTGTAAAATAGGGTTAACAGTACCTCCCTCATAGGACAGTTATGAGAAAATGTGTACAAAGTGTTTTACAGACTATAAAACCCCATCTTCATGTCAGGTGTTTTGGTTTTTTTTGTTGTTGTTGTTTTTTTGTTTTGGTTTTTTTTTTGGTGAGGCAGTTGGGGTTAAGTGACTTGCCCAGGGTCATACAGCTAGTGTCAAGTGTCCGAGGCCAGATTTGAACTCAAGTCATTCAGAGCTGGTACTCTCTCCACTGTACCACCAAGCTGCCCCTATCAGTTGTTTTTAATGTACACTTCTGACCTTGCCATTTCTCTGATGTGGAACCTCCAAAAGCTTTCTGTCTCTTCCAGGATGAAATATAAAGTGTTTGGCCAATACTCACTAACCACCTCTTAGAGCTATTCTGAGATCAAATGAGTATGTATGTCATATGTATGGAGATGTACAGAGAGTGCTTTGCCATTTTCAAAAGCTATGTAAATGGCAACTGGTAGTCCTATTATCTGTCCCTAATAGTCACATTTCTGTAAGACAGGTCTGTAAAAATGCTGTGAAGTACATGGTGCCAAGTATGACAGTCGTGTTGTACATGGGAGGCTGTGGCTACAGAGCTAGTAATTGTCCTAGCTGAGAGTCCAACACAGGCCTCCCCCGTCTCCACACCCAGTCTTTTTCCCATTACTCTGTGGTCTTCTTTCTGAGGTAGTTTTTGCTAGCATTCACCTCTGTACAATTTGTATTTCGTAGTCCTGGTCTGTAGGCTCTATGAAGACAAGGACTTTGTCTTATCTAAATGTTACATCTCTCCCACTGCCTACCCATTCTGTGCATTTAATAAATGCTTAATAATGTTTGTTAAATCCATGTTCTAGTTGTATGTTTAGTCCACCAAGTTACAGTGATTCCTGTGAGGTCAGATTTACCACCTTGTCTGACGACCTCTTATGGCCTATTACCAGTTTCCACTTGTCCTCTTTTATCCCTGTGCATTTGCACGGGTCATCTCCCACACCTAGAATGTATTCTCACCGTATCTCCAGTTGTCTGTTTAAATCTCTCTTCAAGGACAGACTCACAGAATGATAGCTTTTTTTTTTTTTAAGGCAATTGGGGTTAAGTAACTTGCCCAGAGTCACACAGCTAGTAAGTGTTATGTGTCTGAGGCTGGATTTGAACTCAGGTTCTCCTGACTTCAGGGCCAGTGCTCTATCCACTGTGCCACCTAGCTGCCCCATAATCATAGCCTTTTGAAGTTGGTCATCATTGCCCAACCCCAAGGAATCCTTATGACAGCATACCTGATGGGTATCCATCTTCTTGTGAGGCAGTACCTCCTAAGACAGCCCATTGTCAATAATGATTTATAGCATTTTTTTCACAAGATTATGTATAGTTTTGATTTCTTTATTGAAAAACTGTTCATATCCCTTGACCATTTATCAGTTGAGAAATGACCCCTATTCTGTACTTGTGAAGTTGATTTTTCTGAACCCAAGTGTAAGATGTTACACTTGTCCTTATTGAATTTCATCTTACTAAATTCAGCCTAGTGCTCTAGCCTGGCAGGAGATATGCATGTATGTATATATATATATATGCTGTGTGTCACTGATAAAAAGTTTTTAACAGCATGGGGCCAAGCACAAATCCCAAGGGGTTTCCCCTGGAGACCTCCTTAAAAGCTGACATTGAATCATTAATGAATATTCTTTCAATTCAATTATTTAACTGTTCTAAAACTCACTAATTTTGTATTACCTCCTAATCTGTATTCTGTCATGTTTTTCATAAGAATAGCATGTGATGCTTTATATCAGATGCTTTGCTAAAATGTAGTTAAACTATATTTGCAATATTCCTTTGCTCTACCAGTTTAGTCCCTCTAATCTCCAATTAAACCATATTGGGTATAAGTGATTATTGCTTCCTTTACTAGATGATCATTACCTATCTCTTTAATGATCCATTGATCTAATTTTTCCAAGAATCAAAGTCAAGTTCACTAGTCTATAGTTATGGACTTTTTCCCCCTCTCTTTTAAAAGTGGGATATTTGTCTTTCTTCAGTTATGAAGTAACTCTCAATGGTCTTTTACATATTACTTCCAGTAGCTTAGGCAAGGCAACCGATATTTATTAAGATAAGTGCTTACTATGTGCCAAGCACTTTGCTAAATACTGAGGTTACATACATACATATGTATGTCTATACATACATATGTATGTAAAGATTTTATACACACATAAGCAAAAAGAAATATAGTGTTTGTCCTCAATGAAATTATAAGGAAGACAACACTTAAAAAACCTGACAATTGACAAAAGATTAGGAGAAGGTACCCTCAAGGAAGCATAGTGTTAAAGTCTGGAAAGTCAGAAGCCCAATGGGACCCAGCCTAGGCCCCTCCCAGAAACTTACCAATGGGAGGAAGCTAGCATGGCAGTTAGATGTTCTAAGGTGAGGAGGCCTTAAGTATTGAGGGAGGTTGAGAGTAGCTAAGGATGAGACTGTAGCTAAGACTTGATGAAATATACAAATATATAGAATATAGAAATATATAAAATATAGAATATATAGAAAATACAGAAATATATAGAAATATAGAAAATATAGAAATATAGAAAATCACATCTGCTGGTTCTGTCTTACCAGAGGATGTAATTCATCTTGGCCAGATGACTTGAATTCACAAGGGTAATTAGATATTATGACTCTCCTTCCTTACCTTGAGAGTATTAAGTCCTTGTTAGCTATTTTTCTACCATTTCTAGTGCCAAGGTCACTGTTGGTAGAGAACAGAGAGAAAAAATAGATAATAGCTCTGCCTTCTGTCATTTACTGGTTATCTCCCTGTCTACCTCAAGTAGTTGTCTCATCCTTTTTGTGATCCTCTACTTTCCTCCTAATATTTAAAATTTATTTTTAAAAATCTTTTTTTACCTTCATTTTCCTCACTAGCCTCAGCTTACTCTAAACTTTAGCGCTGCTGATGCTAGATTATCATGCTTTTTTGTATTCACTCTGATTAACCTGCTCTAGCTTCTATCCTCTGTACATGGCTTTTAAACATCTCAATTGGTGAGTTCTGTATCAGTCTCTGAAGACAACTCCCCATTTTCCTCTTCATTCGCACTTCCTTTGGGTTTTCAGTTACATTGTTGAGAGTCTCATCCTCACTGTCTCTCCCTATAGAACTTTAGTCCATTAGATCCTACCTCTTTTTCCCCTAAACTCAAATGCGCCTTCCCCAAATCTAGGGTGCATGTCTGTCTAACTATATCCAGCTTCTTCTCCTTTTCTCATATTTACCTTTAGGAGGAAATGATCACTTTCCCTGAAAAGTGTCCATCATTTGTACCCCAGCAACTATTTCTTCCCTGTTGGTGAAATCAGATCCTGAATATAATTTCCTCTTGTTAGTTCCTCCATCCTTTTGCAACATTGAATTATCACTAAGACAAATCAAGAAGTTATATAAGCTGCTCTGCTTTTGGCAGAGAGAGAGAGAGAGAGAGAGAGAGAGAGAGCACTCCAGCAGATGTCTGTGTGTGGCCTTGGCTATGAGACATGAAACACAGCAGTCTTTGGAGAATTGAAAATGGATATCCCACACATGGCAATGGATAGGCACAAGGTGCACGTGAGCAGGCTGCAACATAGAGCCAATGAAGAACTTTGTAAAGTTACAGCAATAAAAGGTGGCATCAGCACATTATACAAGATGGTCTGGCCATGTGGCAGGAGATGACAGATAGCCTGGATGCTCCCACTGGTGTACTCACAGCATCAGGAGAAATTAAGAAGGGCTTCTAATATGTTGAATAAGATCCATTGTAGAAAACTCATGGGAGAACATGGACAAGAGATGCACAGGATGGGCAGGACTGGGTGGGTTTTGCTATCTCTGTGAAATTGGTCTGTCTTTTCCCTTCTCTGGGTCTTGATTTCCTTTTGTAAATGAGGGGGTTGGATTTTTGCAGTGTTTAAGGTCACACTGATTCTTTGTTCTTTCTCCTCCCCATAGGAATTACATGCAGTCTCATCTTCATGTATTTATTCTGCACAGACTGTTGGCTGATTTCAGTACTGTATTTCACATGGCTGGTCTTTGACTGGAACACCCCACAGAAAGGTACTTAATCCCCAGTCTTGCTGTTTGCTTGAGGATCTGGCTTTCCCCACTGAACCTCACATTCAGAGAAAATCATTTCCCATAGAATCACAGTTGGAATAGATTTTAGAAAATGTCTGGTCCAACCTGTACCTGAGCAAGAGTTCCCTCAAAAGATCCCTGACTAGTGTCTGAACACTTCTAGTGATGGGTGGCTCACTACTTCTTAAGACACCCCATTTCACTTTTGGACAGTTTAAATTGTTAGGAAATCTTTTTCCTTATTTTAAACTGAAACCTTTCTACAACTTTCCGTATTTCCAGTTGTGCTTCAAATCATCTATCATTCCAACTGTCCCCAAGTCTTCTCTTCTTTAAAAGGCTAAACACCTCCAGTTGTTCAGCCAGTCCTCTTACTGCCCAGACTCTAGTCTTCTCACCCTGCTGTTTGTTGTTATCCTTCCTGAGATGTGGTGCCCAGGTCAGAACCTAAAACTACTAGGTGAAGTATCTCCAGGGCCTTTTCTGCCTCTCCTGTGTCCCATAATCTGTCCTTTGTGCCTCCACTCAACTTCATAACGTGGGTTATCCTCTTCTTCCTAAAGGTGGCAGGAGATCAAAATGGGTGAGAAATTGGGCTGTGTGGCAGTATTTCCGAGATTATTTTCCCATCCGGGTAAGTGCCTTTAAATCCAGTAAACATTGACTTTTTCTATCCTGGTATCCCTGAGCAATAGGGACTGCACTAATGGAGGACTCTTTGGGGCCTTAGTGTTCACTGAGGTCTCTTATCTACAAAGCACTGGGGAGAGACGATCCCTTTTCTCGTGGAGTTCACAGTCTGGTAGGGGCTACTTCTAGTAGCAAGATATATACCAAGGGCCTAGGAGGCTCTGAGATGTCCACTGGGGAGGGGGGCAGGATCACACCTGAATACAGGGGATTAAAGGCAGCTTACTAAGAAATGTGCAGGGTGAGTTTGGCTTTAAAGAGTGGGAGAGAATTCAGATGGAATTAGTGAGGGAGGTCATCCCAGGCATGACAGGAAGCTGGTAAGGGAAGGCCTACTACCCTGGTAAGGATAGTACAGTTCAGACATTGTGTGGAATGGAAGGAACATTGAATTTGGAGTTCGAAGACCTCAGTTTGAATCCAAACTCCAAAAGTTGCTATGTGTGACTTTGCATAATGCACTTCCCCTCCCTTGGCCTCAGTTTTCCCTTTTTCTCCCCTACACAATGAAGAGATTGAGTTAGACAATATTTAAGGTCCCTTAACTAAGCCCAAACTAAGGATAGAGAATAAATAGCCCAGTCTGTCCCTGAATACCCAGCAAAGAAATTCAGTTAAGTGTCAGAAATGAAGTTGTGGGGAGTAGCAAATGAACTTCCTGACTCTGAGATTCCCAAATGCAGTTCTCTAAGACAATAAGTTACAGAACAGGTGCTAACTTGCCTTTGGTACAGAGTGTGACTCAAGGGAGAGTTCGTTATACCAGTGAAATCACAGATCCAGTTTGAAAAAAAAAACAAACCATGTTAACCATGAGAGGCCATGAAGTATACTGGATAGAGAACTGAAGTGGGGCAGTTGAAGAATTGGTTTCAGATTCAAGAAGACCTGGGTTTAGGTCCTGCCTCATGACTGTGTGACCTTGGACAAGTCACTTACCTGCAGTGCCATGAATACCTCTAGGAATAGAAGAGGACTAGTGGATTGGGGGATGGACCTAGAATTAGGAAGATCTGGGTTCAAATCCCACATCAGACACTTGGAGAAATAGGGCACTTAGCTTAGTGTTAGGAATACAAATGTGACAAGCAGAATGGTCCCTCCCTCAGGAGTACTCTAGTGGGGAAGACAAAGGGCATCTTCAGGGGGAGTGGAGATAGACAGACAGGGAATGATGTGGAGTCCTAGTTCAAGGAAGGACAAGAGGAAAGCTCCGTTCTCAGAGGCCGGTATCATAAGCACAGAGACTGTCGCTGCCTTTCTATTGGGGAAGGCCAAGAGTCCTTGGAATGCAGAACACCAGTTCCCTGAGTGGGACATAAAATTGGTGCCCCTTCTTCCTTCTTCCATAGTGTTCCTCCTTGGGGTTCACATCACTATGGGTGAGGCATTTTTGCAGGCAGTATTGAGCACCTTGTCTTTGAAGGCACAGATCCCATGACTTTCAGCCTTCCCCTGGTGATGCCAGCTGAGATTTCCTTCCCTCCGGGCTGGAGCAAGAAGTAGTGGTTATCAGGAAGGAGCACAAAGGTCCCCTTAGGTAGAATATAGTTTTCTGCTGGTCTCCTGTAGAGACTCGGAGCTGCTTTTCCTTAATGTGCCTGGTTTGTCCCCTGTTTCCAATGTAAATGATCCGATATTCTGGGGACAGTACTGGGACATTCATAGGAAATCCAGTGTTTCCAGCCTTTTGAAGTTCAGAAGGTTCATCCTCTGATCAGAAGGGTTGGGGCAGGGAGGAGACAGAAGTTCTCTCCTTCACTCCAAGCAATTTCCTTCCAGGTTTGGGGGGCTTGGCTGAAGTTGCTCTCTCCTCTAGGCTCCCCTGCTACAATACTGATTCTGAACTAGGGTGTTATTGTTCATACACTCCCCACAGGATAATTTTTCCACTAACCTCATGGACTTCCTATCAATAGTAATGTCTTTTTACCCACCATGCTAAAATGTTTTGTTCCTTCCAAATGGATAGAGTACTTTTCACACCCAATTTAATGCCTTTTTTTAATTCAGAAGAGGTATTTTTGTCTGATGAAAGTGTCAAGGTATAGTACTTGTTGCTGTAAGTGCTAGATACAGTATGTGGCACATCTTGAGAGTTCAGTCATTTCAGAAGGGAATAGAACCTAAGTTCCTACCTTCACCCCTGAGCTCAGGGAAAACTTTTTTTGTTGTTGTTTTCAACTCATCCCAAACAGCAGAAGGTCCTTGCCTTGGATACATCAAGCCAAGATCCAGGAAATCCCAGGCTCTGGGCCTTGTTTTTGCCCAGTACCAATTTAAAAATAAACATCACTTCTCCCTCCCCTTACCCTTGTACTCAGGCAAGTGACCGGACTTTGGGATTCTAAGGGGCAGGGGCTGACAGTTGTCATTGTCCACTTTTGGGACTTTCTGTCCCTTCCCCTTCATGTGATTAAAAAATAAAACACTGCCCTGGCCTTTGTCCCTGGCAAGGGCCAGGTAGGTCTGTGGGAATGGATACTTTGGGGGATGGGTCCTGGAAGGGGCACATGAAGTATACAGAGCAGCCAGTGCTATGAGACTTTCCCCAAAGTATCTATCTCATCCTGGGGGTGGAGGAATGGGGAATGACAGAATGACCAATGATGGTGTCTCCCTTCAGAGCATTCTCAGACATAGCCTGGTCAGCCTTGTTTATAGTCCTGAACAGTAGAGGGATGGGAGGTCAGCTGGAGTGCTCTAGGTCCTGCTGTGTTTTGTTTTCTCTAGTCTGGGCTGGCACAAGAAGCTGGGCTTGGTTTCTCCCCCCGCTAGAGGCTTATTGTGGTCTCTAGTAATATTATCACTTATCTAGTACTTTGAGATTTAGAAAGTACTTTTCATATATTATCTCATTCAAAAGTCCACAAAATAGAAAGGATGTTAAAGTAGATGGTCTCTAAGGCCCTTTCCAGCTCAAAATCAAAATGATCCTGTGACTTGGAGTCAGAATACCAGGAAGTTTGGATTCTAACCTCCACACTTACTAGTTACATGACCATGAACAAATCACTTAATCACTCTGATTTTATTTCATCTGTAAAATAGGGAACCTATTTATCAGCTACCTATCTTAGAAGGTTATTGTAAAGAAAGCTCTTTATATAAACTTTTGTTGGGTAAGGGAGGAGGAGAAGGGGTAGAAATGAAGTACAAGTGTTATCCAATTATTAAAATATTAATTTTATAATTATTAGTTTCATAATATTTATTATTGGTGTTGATATATTCAAAGACTCAGCCTGCGACTGGGAAAGAGAACAAAGGTAAATAAAACCCACATAAAGATAAGTGGTTGTTCTGTGTGGTCCCTGTGGGCAAAATCAGAATAAATGGGTTAAAATTATTAGGAGCCAGAACTTTCTAGCATCCAGAAGAGCTGTCCAAATAGCATAACAGGTTCCCTAGAAACATAGTGATGCTTAATATCACTGGAGATCTTCAAGCATGGATCCCAACTGTGTGTCATACTATTAAGGAGATTCCTGTACTGTGTGAGAGATTGAACTAAATGCTTTCCAGATGTCCTTTCCAGCTCTGAGATTCTATTATATCTTTCTCTCCTTTTCTTCCCAATTCTTTATCCCAGCTGGTGAAGACCCACAACTTGCTGACAACCCGGAATTACATCTTTGGGTATCACCCTCATGGTATCATGAGCCTGGGGGCCTTCTGCAACTTCAGCACTGAGGCCACAGAGGTTGGAAAGAAATTTCCTGGGATCCGGCCTTATCTGGCAACTTTAGCTGGGAACTTCAGGGTCCCTGTGTTAAGAGAATATTTAATGTCTGGAGGTAAGAAAATGAAAGGGTAATGCATTCTTCCTACATCCTTGCAAGAGAATCCCAAATAGTTTCATCCTTTGCTTTTACTCTACACAGACCTAGCAAGTCCTGTTGTGGTTTGTCCTTCATTTTTGAAGAGGACCATGACCTGAGGGAGTTGATGACATGACTTGCAATTGACTTTTATTTGAGTGAGGGAGGCCTGTGCAAAGTCACCAGCCTCACTTTCTCCTCCAGAGCCATCTGGGTCCAGTGGCCAGATATTGATCAGGAGATGGGAGATGGCTCAGGATGCAGTGAGAGACCTTGGCCCTTTTAAGCTAACATCTTTTCAGGTTCTCACTTTGAGTGAGGCAACTCCCATTCAGTAAATAATAGGTCTCTTTAAGAAGTAAGTCAAGGGATATCCCCTTTAATAAAGAAAAAAATCAAACTGAGAAGGGAAGACCCTCAGGGTTGCTGGCCAAAAGAGAAACAGCTGCTATTTACATTCACTGTGAGCCAAGAGGACCCAAAAAATAACCATTAACTGGTGCTTGGGCAGGAACCCACCAAGTTCTGTTTAGGAACAGGGTACTCTTAGTGTGTTCCTTGATTCCATCTTCACAGGTCAAGGATAAGCCTTAAGCTGCCCAAATTCCTTTACTTTCCCTATCTATAAAATTAGATAATTGGACTAGAGGATTTCTGAAGTCCTTTCATCTCTTGAAAATTCTATTTAAGGATTCATTTTCTAGGATTCTTCCATGTCCCAAGCTATTCTTATCATGGGCCTGGGTCCTAAGAACAGTATTATACAATGAAAAGGGGATGGGATTTGGAGTCAAGGGACCAAGGTCCAAATCCCCAGCTCTTCCACTTACTAATTTGTGTCTTTAAACAAGTCAGGTCTCCTCTTTAGGTCTCAGTGTCTTTTTTTGTAAAATTAAAGTTTTGAACTCATTGACCTCTAAGGTCCATTCTAGATTATAGATGATCCTCCTCATCTGTGCCTACTGGTTTCCCTGACTTCCTTCAAGTCCCAACTAAAATCTTATCCTTTTATAGGAAGTCTTTCCTGAGTCCCCCTTCATTCTAGTGCCTTCTCTGTTACTTTTTTAAAGAATGTTTTTATTTTTTTCACAATTTAGAAACTATTTTTAACATTCATTTTTTATAATTTTTGAGTTCCAAATTCTTTCCCTTCCCTCCCCATTCCTTGAGAAGAAGGCAAGTACTTTGATATAGATTATACATGTGCCGTCATGCAAAACATGATTCCGTATTAGCCTTGTTGCAAACGAGAACACAAATCAACAAAAATCCTTCTCTGTTAATTATTTCCAATTTATCCCATATGTAACTTGTTTGTACGTAGTTGTTTGCATGTTATCTTCCTCCTTAAGCTGGAAGTTTCTTAAGAGCCAGGACTGTCTTTTACCTTTCTTTTCATCATCAAGGCTTAGCATTATGCCTGGCACATAGTAGGCAATTAGTAAAAATTTACTAAGTTGGCATTTAGTAAATATTGACTTAACTTCCCATTGTAAGAACAATAATGACTCACATTAAGTAGTGTATTAAGCTTTATGAAGTACTTAACTGACAACAATTCTGTGAGGGAAGTAGCATTTTCTCTAGAGGTGGTAGTAAGGTAATAATAGTAATAAGTGTTTCCATTTTACAGATAAGGAAACTGAAGCTGAAAAGTCAGGTAACTTGTCCAGTGTTTCAAGATAGGATATGTTAGAGCTGGAACTTATCCTCAGGTCTCCTAACTCCAAAACTTAGTGGTATAGCTGCTTCTCAAAGGACTGGTTTGTCTGTGTTTTGCCTTTGGGGCCTCTCATCTTGGTTTCCAGGGCCTTCCTTCTTGTTTCTTATGTTTGGGGAAAGCATCCAGGATATCTCTTTCCATCCCATTCTCTAGTTGAGAGATTCAGTCCTGTGCTTTCTTAGTTTCTGGCTATCTCGACCAAAAGGGCCATCATGAAGTGTGCTGGAAATCAATACACAGATGTTTATTAAGTGCTCGTTGTGCTAGGAATCCAGTGCCGCACCCTTGGGGAGAGAGGTACCCTGGATTTAGATAAGATATAGTCCTTGCCCTCATGGAACTTGGTCTTTCAAGGAAGACACAAACACAGGTAGTAATAATACCACACTATTACATAATTACAGTGTTCCAGAAAGAGGCAAACCAATTGTTATATGAGGTCCTTAGAGTTGATTAAAGGGGCATTACTAGAATTTATAGGGCAAAAATGGTTAAAAAAAAAAAAAAAAGACCAAAGAATTGTCAATGTGCAAAGTCCAAGAATCTTCCCAGCGAACCATAATGTGGCCTTAGAGGCTAGTACAATTTCTGGGTTAAACAGCCTCAGTTGCCACATAGTCCTGGTTGCCACATAGCCCCTCCGTTTTGCCTTGGAAGAGCCTGGCACATCCTTTCCCTAGATTTTCCCTAGCATTTGACGAACTAATTTGGCCATTGAACACTTTGGGTAATAGAATATATTATTGGAACCTATAGGTAGTTCTAATTTAGGGTGAAGGAAGGATTTTGAGGGTTTGAAATTACTCCCAAGATAAAAAGGAACTAGGGACCTTTCAGACTAAAACAGTGGAGATTTGGCCTTTGTTTTCACTGATGCACTCCTCTGTTGTCTCATTTTAGTGTGAAGGTGACCCTGGGCTCTCAAAGGTTGTATCAGCCAAGCACAAGCTATGGTGGATAATGCCAGTCTTTAAAAAGGCCTCACTCCACTTCGGTCCTGGTGGCAGACTCTGTCTTTCATTCCGGGCCTAGCTTAGCAGCTAAGTTTAGAAAGACTAATAACCAGTCTGGCTACAGGGTGTTAAAATTTTCAGCTATAGCAGCTCAAGGAAACCATATACTAATTGTAGTGTCATTGCCATCTGTGCCAGTGGAGAGAGGACCTGTGCCAGGGAAAGCACAGAGTTTTGAAATCTTAAGGTGTCATAGTAAACAATGTTATCACATATTTTGGAATGTATATAATTTCATATTCCAGATGGGAAAAATAGCACTATTATTAAAGAATTTTTCACATCATTTGGAACACCATGGAACCCTGGCCAACACAGCCTTATAAGGTCCCATCTTTCTGTGATACTGTGTTCTACAAGTGAAATTTGACTGATCCACTGTAACACTGAAGAATTCATTCAGCCTCTCTGGGCATCAGTTTCTCTTTTCTAAAATGGGGATACCAATATCTGCCCTGCCTGCACCATAAGTGGTTGTAACATTCAGATGAGATCATGGACATTGAAAGTGCTTTGAAAAGATTAGCGTCATAGGATAATAAATTTAGAACTGAATTGAAGCAAAGAAGTAAGTGAATTCAGTCAGTAAACCAAGCATTTATTAAACACCTACTGAGTATCAGGCACTGAGATTACAAAGACAAAAATGATACCACTCTTGCCCTCAAGTAGTTTATATTCTCTCTCTCTCTCTCAGTGGAGAGAATAAACATGTGTACATACATGTAAAACATTTTCAAAATAAATACAATGTAGTTCTTTACTAAGATCATACAGCCAATAAGTGACAAAGCTGGGATACGAGTCCCAATTCCTCTAACGTCAAGACCCATCTGGAGGTACCAGAGACTGGAGAGTGAAGCCTCGATGACCAGGTTGGGGATGTAGTAGAAGGAGCTTCTGTTTAGCCTCTGAGGTTCCTCTGAATTCTTAGAAAGAGAATGAAAGGAGCACTGGATTTGGAGTAAAGGGAGCTGGACTTGAATTCTGACTCTGATGATTATTTCTGACATGACTTGGACAAGCCTCATTTTTCATGTCTAGATTTAAGGAAGTTGGGTTTGCTGGAGAAATGGAAGGCCCTTTTCAGATCCCTAAATTCCAGAGGAGTGTCCGTGGTCTGTGATTCTTGTTCTGATGCTGCCCCCTAATGGACTTTTGAAAGCCATACCCACAGTTGGCACCTAGCCACTAACCTTTTCTCCTTATCCAAAACTGTAGTCAGCCCTGTTAACAAGATCCAGGGAGTGGATCAAGCCATGGCTCATCTACCATCTTTCACCCCAGCAAAATTCACTAAAGCCCACAAGTTTACCGTGTACTCATATAATTCTATATAGTCATTCCCACTTACTAGGCTACTCATTTATTGATGATGCAGATGCATCTGTAAAATGATAAAATTTATAATTATATCTGTATAAATAATATGTAATTACAAAGTTATATATATATGAAATATATATGTATATGTCTCTCTGTGTGTATACACAGACTATATATGTGTATATATATATATATAAACTGCCTCCTGGTTATAGTGAAGAAAGCACTTTCTAAACTCTAAGCTGCTTGAAAAATCAATTTTTGTCATCATCATTATTATGTGATGAAATACAGTGACAGAGAAGTTAGAATCAGAAAGACCTGGGTTCAAGTCCTGCCTTTAGCACATAGTATCTATGTGACCCACTATGGATGAATCATTTATTCCCTCAGTATCCTGAAGGGCTCTCTAAAACTTAAGTTCCAGATGAGTTAAAGATCTGCACCCGTGGGAGGGCATTTCCACATGAAGGGTTCATCACCCTGATGGAATCACAGGTCCAGATCAAAAAGGTTTATTATACTGACACCCTTTTAGTGACACTGACCACTGGCGCACTGCTCCCCCTTTGACTCTGCTTCTCTGTAAAAGCGTGAGAATAATATTGTACCACTTACCTCACAGAACTTCAGTGAAAAAGGAGGGTTTTTTTTGGTTTGTTTTGTTTTTAAGGCATTTGGGCTTAAGTGACTTGCCCAGGGTCACACAGCTAGTAAGTGTCAAGTGTTTGGTCTGAGGCCAGATTTGAACTCAGGTCCTCCTGACTTCAGGGCTGGTGCTCTATCCACTGTGCCACCTAGCTGCCCCAGGAAAGGAGTTTAAAAATAGAATAGGTAGGTCTCCCAGGCCTGGGCCTATCTTGCCCTCCCACCCTGCCGGGGCCACCAGAACATAAGACACTGCTGACTTCCTCATAGAAGATTCTATTCTGCCACAGGTATCTGCCCTGTCAGCCGTGACACCATTGACTATCTGCTTTCCAAGAATGGGAGTGGCAATGCTATCATCATTGTGGTAGGGGGTGCTGCTGAGTCCCTGAATTCCACACCAGGAAAGAATGCTGTGACTCTGAAGAACCGGAAGGGCTTTGTGAAGCTAGCCCTGAGACATGGGTGAGCAGACTGGGAAAAGGAGGGCAGCCGCCAGGTTCTGCACCCATTTGTAGAGTATTAAAAATAACTCTAGCCAGGAAGTTAGGTGGTCTTCTTAGCTCTGGGGCCTTATTCAAATCATTTCCCATCTTGTAGCCTCATTTTTTCCCTATATAAAATTATGAGCTTGGACTGGACTGCCCAAGGCCCTGCTGTAGTTCTGATGTTCTGTAATTCCTTTGGTCCCTGCAACCACCTTGTGTTGAGTAGAGATGAGATTATCTCAATATTACAAATGTGGAAACTATGGAACATAGAGTGTCAGCGCTAGAAGAGACCAAAGAGATCATCTAATTCACCTGTCTTTTATAGATGAAAAAAATGGGGCCTAAAGAGGGGGACGGGGTGACGTGTGGCAAAGTCACACATTGTTATTTTTAGTCTTATTATGAAATGAATTTTGAAGGTGTGACAAAGACTTGAAAGTTTCCTCGGTGTTTCTTCCCCTCTAGGGCTGACTTGGTTCCCATCTATTCCTTTGGGGAGAATGAGGTTTACAAGCAAATAATCTTTGAAGAAGGTTCATGGGGCCGATGGGTCCAGAAGAAGTTCCAGAAATACATTGGCTTTGCTCCCTGCCTTTTCCACGGTCGGGGCTTCTTCTCATCCAACACTTGGGGTCTAGTGCCGTACTCTAAACCTATCACCACAGTTGGTAAGTGGGGTTGAGGACAGGGCGGGGATGGGGATGGAGGATATCCACTCAAGTAGATCCAGCAAAATAAATCATTTCACAACCCCCTTTGTCAGGGGTGGGGGAAGGTTGGGCTCAAAGCTGGCTTCCCTAGGAGTTAGTCTCAAAGCAGGAGGGGTACAGTGTACTCTCAGAGAGCCCTGAATTTGTAGCCAGAAGTCCTGGGCTGAAATCCTACCCCTGCTACTTAGTAGCTGGGTGGCCTAGAGTAAGTCGTTTTAATCTCTCTGGGCCTCCATTCCTCATCTATAAAATGGAGATAGTCACCTCATGATACATGAGGAAGACACTGACTGGAGCTGAGGACCTGGGTTCAAACCCCACCTCTGATACTGCCTGTGTGACTTTGGGCAAGTCATTTAGACCTTTCTGTGTCTGTTTCCTCATCTGCATATGTTGTTGAGGAAATTCTTTGTAGACCACGATAGTAATATGAAGGAAAAAAATCAGACTGAAATAGAGAGCTGGGGTTAAGCTCAAGCAGTGACTCTCAGCCCAGCTTCTTGAAAACAAAGGAGCAGAGTGGGGCCTGAAGCTGAATGTGGATCAGTAAACAAACTTTTATCAAGCATTTACCTGGTGTCAGGCCTTGTGCTAAGCCCTGGGAAGACGAAAGCCCTCCAAGAGACTGTGGGAAGATCTGGTAGAGCATTTCTGGTACCACGCAGGAGAAAGCCAGGAGGAAAAGTTAAGGGGACAGAAGAAGACGGTTAAACCTGGGGCCTCCTGAAGATCCATTGCTGCACAGATTGTCCAAATTGGAAGGGACCTTCTCTTGACCTCATTTTACAGTCTCTTTTAAACGGCTGCAAGCTCCTTTAATAGGCCATCCACAATCTAGTTTCAACTCACCTTTATTTAACCCTACTTTGTACACTCTGCATTCCAGCCAGACTAGACCATTAGCTCTTCTACAAACCTTCCCCAAAACTGCGCCTCTGGCCATCCATGACGGCCATCCTCCATGCCTGGAATTTACTGACTCCTCTTTTCTGCCTATTGAAATTCTTTTCTTTCAAAGATTGGTGATAAAGTTGAAAGGATACTCTCCTAGAAAGTCTGGAGTCCTGGTGTCTACTCCCACTTTTCATGATGGTATCCTGCTGTGTCACAAGGCCCTTTCTGTTTTCTTACCTGTAAAATGAGTAGCTTGCACATAACAGCTATGTGAAAACCAGGAGTATAAGTGTTATCCTTGTTTTATGTAGTTGGGGAGGGCACTTAATCTCAAAGAAAGAGGGGATGTGACTTGCTCATGGTCACATAGCCAATATGTGTATGACACGCCATGCCTCTTTTTTGTGCCTTAGTGTCTCCATCAAAAAATGGTGAGCCAAGACTCAGCTTCATGTTTTCTAACTCCAAGACTAGTGTCCTTTTCATTAGACTACAAAACCTTTCCAGTTCTGACATTGTATAATGAAAAGAGCATTGGACAAGAGTTAGGATACCTGGGTTTGAGTGTTATCTCCCACTTTTTTAGCTGTGTAGGCCTCATTTTTGTCATTTGTATGACAACTAATATTTGTACTACCTACCTTAATGGGCCTATTATGTGGAAAGTGCTGTAGGAAGCATCGTAAAAGTAATAGCTCACATACCTTTGGTGCCTTGAGATATACAAAAGATTTTCCTCCCAATAGCCACAAGAGCTTATCCCTTTTTCACAATGCAGAAACCAAGGCTGAGAGGTGAAGACTCCTCTGGGGCACCATGGCTACAAGCATTAGGGACAGGATTTGAACCTGGATTATAAAAGTGTAACACGAGAAAGGATCTTACAGGTAATCAGGTCTAATCCTTCATTTGACAGTTGAGGAAACATGTGACTTGACTTTGTCCAAGGTTACACAGGTGGTAAATAACTGGATTGGAAACTTAAGCTCGGGTCCACTGATGGTAAAACCGAAGCTTTTTCCTCTTTCTGCCCTCTCTCGTCTGCTGGTGTTTTAAAAGAGATGATTTTGGGAGTGCAGGAGCTGTAGGCCACTGAGGTGGCCTGGCAAAGCTTCCAACAGGAGAACTGATAACATTTTTCTCTTGACAGTGGGTGAGCCCATCACCATCCCCAAACTTGAGTACCCAAGCCAGAAGGACATCGACCTATACCATGGCATGTACATGGAGTCCCTGGTGAAACTCTTTGACAAGCACAAAACTAAGTTTGGTCTTCCTGAGACAGAAGTTCTGGAAGTGAACTGAGTGGACTGGGCTGTTGGCAGGCAGCCAGCAGCCTCCCCTTTGGGAGAAGAGTCAGCCTCAAATCATTTTTCTACCAAGTTCTCAAGTGCTTTTTGTTCTGTAAATTTGGAAGCCTCATGGGTGTCTGTGGGTTATTTAAAAAAATTATAATAACAAAATAATAATTTTGTTAAAAGATTACTATGTTAGGTCTTTTTTAAGGGAAAAAAAGTGAATGTATCTAAACTCTCTTGCTTCTAGTCCATCCTACTCTGAAGAGCTGATTTTTTCCTGGCTTCTCCCCATGTTCCTCAACCTGATCCATCTATCCTTCCATCATCAAAAACCCAAAAAAGCTACCTTTCTATTTAATTATGAGGAGGAGACCAGGACTATATTTGAAAGCATCCTGCATATGAAGTTAGAGGAAGCTGAATTCAAATCCAAACTCTGCAATATACTTCCTGTCTGATCTTGGGCAAGTCCCAAGTTGCCTGAAGTCAGCTTCCTGTTAAATTAAGGGGTTAGACCAGAGAAGATCTAGCATTCTTCCTAGCCTGAGGATCTTATAATCCTATAAAGCTTCACCTGAGACCCTAGAGAAACAATTTTTCAATCCCACCACTTTCTTTTTGCCCTGTCCCTAGCCCTAGAGGATTCCATTAATGTGGACTTGTCCCCAGACATGACAGTCCCTACTACAAAGTGATGACCCTCTAATGCAATTCAGCTGCCACTGACCCTGACCTATATTGAACACGTGGGGTGGACCTTCGTGTGAGTTCATTAGACAGAGAATTACCTTCCCAAGCTAGATATGGTAACATGTAGACGAGGAAGGTATTGATGTTTTATCTCCCCTTGTCGGTTTGGAGGAGTGGGACTGGAAGGGGCCTGAAAACTACCATCTACTTTTTGAGATTTTTTTACACAGTTCCCACCTTTCCCTCCATCCCCAACTCTCACACATAGACTGATGGAACATATCCCATTGATGCTTTCCCAACCCATATTACCCTTTGTTAAATATTTCTCTTACAACTCTGAACGTCACAGGAAACCGGGCCTGGCATGAATTGTTCCTAACTTACTGCCTGGGTGACCCTGGCTTTGTCATTCCACAGATTTAGGCCTCAGTTTCCACTTAATTAAGCAGAGAATAGGGACAAATAGAGTTTCGGGGCTTGTGAGCTCCAGCTTGGCTAGGCAAATGCAGGTCAGCTCCTGTGTTAGGAGAATAACCTGTGTGGCCTGAGTGAAAAGGTCTTGAAAGGAAGTTGAAGATGTGGATCAGGCTCCATGTAGAACCAACCCCTGGGCCCAAACCATGCCTTAGTTTACACAGGGTTAGTCCCCTCTCCCATTTCTGTGTCTGAAGGAAGAATTGACCTCAGAGTGTTCCTCTATTCAGGGACTAACAGGTGGTGCCATTTACCTGAAGGCCAAGTGCCAGGGGTGACCCTCAACCTCACATCTGTGTCATTAGCCATATGTGTGATCTAGAGCAAGTCACCTCCCTTCCTTGCACCTCATTTTTCTGCTATATCATGAGGACTATGGATTATTTAACCTCTGAGTTCTCTTCCAGCATCAATCCCTATGATCCTCTGATCTACGTGCCTTTGCAGAGCAGGGGGACCAGAGATGCCTTCTCATATCCCAGCACCTTATGGCAAAATGAGCTTGTATGTATATGTTCTCTCTTCGTATTTCTCAAATCATTGTGCCATACCAAAACTTTTGTACAAATTTATAGAAATAAACTTTGGTTGGGACTAGTGCCTTTCCTATGGTGTTTAGTCTTTCTCTCAGTGGATAAGAAGGGGAGGTATTGTGGCCTAGTGGGAGTGGAAGAACCTAGAAAATGAGGCCTTTGGCTGGTAAGGCTGGACCCTGGGTTGGAGTATAGATAAAAGCACATTTATGCAAGGTTTTAAGGTTTATGAAATGCTTTTCTCACCAATCCTGCAGGGGGAGTGGTGCAAATGTACTCAGTTTTACAAATGAGGAAACTGAGGCTCAGTGAGGTAAAGTTACTTGCTTAGGATGACCTAGCTTGGAGGTAAGCTTAGGACCCAGCCTCTTTTGACTTCAAACCCAGCCCTTTTTATCTACCAATAGATTCTTCAGGAGCCCAAGCTCCCAATTTTCCATTACCAGAAAGAGTGTTGCTTGGATAATTGGTGAATTAATTAAGACTTAAAGTACATCTCCTGCATGTATGCTCTACCCTTGGTGCTATGGGTCAAACAAGAGGAGAGACTGTGATCCCTACCCCTTAAAAGGATTTTCTCGTCCTAGGGAGAAGAGATTTTGCATACATGAAGCAACTGAGAAAACAGCTCATGCAAAGTAAACTGCCTTCCCCATTTTTGTCTGTGTCTCCCCATTTCTTTGGTTTTCCAAGTTCAGAGACCTGTAACTCCTCCTAAATTCAATCTGCCCCAATCCCAGCTTTGCCTACTGGAATATGTCTATCCTCTACTCATAACCTTCATTGACTCCCCATTGCCTGCGGGATCAGTTCCATTTTCAGCCTGGCTTTAAGTGCTCTCCCTAGGCAGGTCTTAACTTTTCAGCCTCACCTGCCACTATTCTCAGGGCTGTGGGCAATACAAAGGAAGGAGATGCAGCTCCTATTTGTCATTCAATGTGTAATGTAGCTTGGGAGGAAGACATCCCACTAACTTACAAATAGTAGGGGTTGTGAGATCAGTAGCTTAGAGAAGAGGCATCATTGTGGGATGGAGGGATGGAGGCAGTACCTGGCCCTGGAAATGGGACGCAGGGAAAGGATGGAGAGAAAGAGAAGGATGGGACAGAGGTAATGAAAGAATGATATGAAGCACTTGGTGTCAGATTGAGTGAAGGGGATGCAAACATTAATCAAAAATAAATTTGAGGGGCAGCCAGGTGGCACAGTGGATAGAGCACCGGCCCTGAAGTCAGGAGGACCTGAGTTCAAATCCGACCTCAGACCAAACACTTCACACTTACTAGCTGTGTGACCTTGGGCAAGTCACTTAACCCCAATTGCCTTAAAAAAAAAAAAAAGAAAATCAAGGGAGTATTTGGGGCAACTAGGTGGTGTAGTGGATAGAGCACCGACCCTGGAGTCAGGAGGACCTGAGTTCAAATGCGGCCTCAGACACATAACACTCACTATCTGTGTGACTCTGGGCAAATCACTTAACCCCGATTGCCTCACCAAAAAAAAAAAAAAAAAGATAAATTGGGATTGTCACCTCCTCTCTGGGCTCCAGTTTCCTCATCTGAAAAATGAGGTGGCTGGACTAATTCATCAGCAGTGCCCTCTCTGACTCTCATTCTGTGACATAGACGTAAAGCAGTGGGGGAGAAAGTGTCTCAGAGGTCGTCTAGTCCAACCACCTCATTTTACGGGTGGGAAAGATGAGAACAGAAAAGTTCGATGACTTACCTGTTATCATACAGTATGTAACAGAGCTGGGACTTAAACCTGCATCCTCTGGCCTTAAACCCGTTGCCTTTTCCCTTCCAGCACTAACATCTGTGAATAATGAGAAGTGGGGCTGTGTAGCAGGGTGGGGATGGGGGTGTTGAGAAGAATTTGTGCCCCTCCTGTGCCCAGGAAGCTGTAGGAGAAGCCGCCTTCTAGGAAAGTGGGATGGGTAAAATATAACTTTTTGCCCCATCCAGGAAATGATCCTCAGAGGAAGTGGGGAGGTTTGGGGAGCTCAGGTGCAAAACTGTCCCCTGCTTCACCACTTTCCTTCCAGTGTAGGTCTGCCTCATCTCCCTGCAAAATTAGTGGCGATATCCCACTCCACTCCCCAGGGCTGTGTAGAACACCAACAAAGATGTGTCAGAATAATGAGAACTCATCTTCACAAAGTACTTTTCTCACAACAACCCTATGAAACAGGGATAACGATTCCCCTTTCACAGAAGCAGAAACTGACGCTCCAGTAGTTTAAGTGATTTGCTTCAGGGCACACTGCTAATAAACATCAGTCAAGATTCAAGAGAAGACTATATTATCTTTTGTTTTTACATCCCCTTCACTTCTAGAAATACTCTTCCCACATTCCTTCCCTCCCTAGTGAGTCATCCTCTCTAACAGAGAGTGAAAAAGAAAGGGAGGGGGAAGTGCTTCAGTAAAACTAACAACAGAGTATGACAGTGTATGCAATACTGCATACCCATACCTCCCCTACCTTTGTAACAAGGGAGAGGGTGCATTTTCTCATTCTCTCAGGCCGAATGTGATCATTATAATAACAGCATTCTGTTTTCCCCTTTTTTCATATTGGCTGTGATCGGGGACACTTCTTCCTGGATTCTGCTTTATTCTGCATCAATTCATACATGTCTTCCCATGCCCCTCCAGTTCTTCATCTCTATTGCTGCTTCTGGAACAGTGATATTCCATTACATTTTTGTACCACAGTTTGCTTAGCCATTCCCTGATCGAGGGGCATCTACTTTGTTCCCTGTTCTTTGTCACAGCCAAAAAATGTGGCCATTCAGAATGTCCCAAAAATCTTAGTCCAGTTTAAAACTCTTTGTTTTGTTGTATATGGAACTTTTCTGTCTCTGCTCTCTTGGGAATATGCTTTTTGTCAAGATGTCTCTGTCCAAGGGCATGGATATTTTACTTACTTTCTTAGCATAATTACACATTGCTTTCTAGAATGTTTGGACCAATTCGCAAGTGAAGCAGTGTGCCTATAATTTCTGCTGCCCCTCAGTCTTGTATTTTATCCTGTTCTCTGCCCTTGGTCTGAAGCTGCCTCGCTGTAAAACTCTTGGTTCACTGCTCTTCCCACCTATCATTTAAAGAGCCTTAAAATGCGGCTAGGGGGCAGTGGATAGAGTGCCAGGCTTGAAGTCAGGAAGACTTACCTTCCTGAGTTCAAATCTAGCCTCAGACACTTACTAGCTGTGTGACCTGGGCAAGTTACTTAATACTATTTGCCTCAGTTCCCTCATCTATAAAGTGAGCTGGAGAAGGAAATGGCAAACCACTCCAGTATCTCTGCCAAAAAACCCCAAATCGGGTCATGAAGGGTCGGATGAGATTGAAACAACTGAACAACAAAATGCTTCTACTACTCCTCAAATGAGATAACCTCTGTAAAATTTCTAGCATAGTCCTGGGCACATAGTAAGTACATCATAAATGGTTGTCTCTTCTCCTCCCTGGCCGCTTTTCCATGTGTGCCGTTCAGGCAACCTTCTCTGATTATGTAAAAGAAAGTTACAGAAAAACCTCCCAGTGTCATATTTATAATAAATAGCTGTCCTAACCAGAACTGTCAGAGCTGGAAGGGATGATAAGGGACCATCAAGTCTAACCCTCTTATTTTACAGAGGAAGAAGCCAAGGCCCCCAAAATGAAAGTGATTTGCCCAAGGTCATTGAACAAGTTTATGGTACATCCAGGTTTCCTGACTCCCAGACGAAGTCTTTTTGCACTGTACAGGAGTCTAGAGATTATATTTAAGGAAGAGAAATGGTCCCTTTTCCAATAAAGGTAGCTCAGGCCCTGGGATGAAAATATTTTAGTAGTACAATAATATTTACAAATCACTTTCCTCACAAGCTTCCCAAGAGGAAGGTAGGGCAAGTATTATTGTCATTATACAAATTAAGAAACAGGCGCAGAGAAGAAAGGAACTGCCTATGGTGATCACAAGCAATTAAGTATCAGAGATGACCCTCAAACCCAGATCAGTTGACTTTGAAGATTCAGGGTTTTCCCCAGTGCCACATATGTGTCTCTGTGCTTATGGAGTTGAGGGTCCCCTGGGAGATGGGGGGCAAGGATCCAGGGATCAATCAATTAATCAAGCTTATCTTAAGTGCCTACTATATGCCTGGCACCTTGCCAAGCACAGGAGATATAAAAATACAAGGGGGAAACAGTCCCTTCCCATAGGGAGCTTACATTAGCAGTAGACACAATATGTCAAGCAACTAGCATTGATTACGCATCTGATATGTTCCAAGCATTGTGCTAAGAGGTGAGGATACAAAGACAGGTGAAAAAAAAAAAGTATGCTCTCAAGGAGGTCCCAGCCTGAAGGGGGAAACAATGTGTGAACAAGCTGTATATTTGAATAAGTTAGAGATAATCACAGAAGGAAGGCAGTAGAATTAAGGGAGATTGGGAAAGGCTTCTTGTAGAGAGTGGGACTTTAGCTGAGACTCAAAAGAAGCCAGGAGATAAAGATGAGGAGAGATATTCCAGGCATGGGAGACAGCAAATGAAAATGCTGAGAGTCAGGAGATGGTGTCTATGTGTGAGGCTCAGCAAAGAGGCCAGTGCCACTGGATCACAGATTATTTGGGGGCAGGGGGATGGTGTAAGGTGTAAAAAAAACTGGACAAGTAAGAAAGGGCTAAGTTATAGAGAGCTTGAAAGGGCAGAGAATTTTATATTTGATTCTGGAGGCAATAGAGATCCACCGGAGTTTGAATAGAGAGGTGACATTAGGCGATCTTTTAGAAAGATCAGTTTGATACTTGAGAGGAGGATGAAGTGGAGAAGGGAGTGACTAGAGGCAGGGAGGCGAAGCAGTAAGTTATTGTGAAAGTCCAGGTGCAAAATAATGAGAGCCTATACCAGAGTGGGGGCAGTATCAGAGAAGGGGGAATGCATAGACACACATATATCTATCTGATTATGAAAATAGAAATGCCAGGACTTGGCAACTGATTGGATATTGGAGGTGACTGAGATGAGACAAGGATGACTCCTAGGTTTTGAGCCTGTGTGACTGGGAGGATTGTGCTACCTTC